CCGCCCGTGTTCTCCCCTCCGTCCCGCAGCCGCGGGGGGAGAGGGCGGTGGGTGCCCCCGGTGGGGCACGGACCCCCGAGGCGTGGGTCCAAAGGCGGGGTGGAATCTCGGGGCCCGGGTGGGAGTGGGGGACGAGGGGTGATTGAACAGTGAACGGGGGAGCCATTAACAATTAGTGACGTTAATGAGAAGGGACAGTCAAAACAAATAGCGGGGGTATGGAACGAGCCCGGGAAAACATTTGGGACGGAGCCTGATCGGGCGATAACGGAGACACAATAAATCAAGCCTCGGGCGCGGTAGAAAAACAAAAGTCGGAGCCATTCGTTACCGGCTTTGCGGCCAAGAAAATTAAGGACTTAATCTTCAGCGATAATTGGCAGTCCCGGGAAGGCAGGATTTAGTGGCGGGAGGGGACCCGGGATGGGGGACCTGCCCGCTGCCCCTAAAACCGCTCCGAAATTCGCAACAAGCCCTTCTTGATCCCGTCCTTAAAACTTGCACCGAAAACACCCGCGCTGGCACCGTGGCCTGATTTGGGAGAACCGATCCCGGACTCCCCGGGGAGGGGGCGACTTGCCTTCCCCCCCGCGGTTGCCCCGGGGCTCCTCTTTCAGTTGCCAACTGGATCCTGTGCCCAAGTCTGGGGACCAGCTCTCCCAGAGCCCGAGGAGGTGCCCGTCCTGGGTCTGCCTGCCCAGAAAATAGTGGTTCCAAAAGGACTTTTAAGGAGAGTTCGGGACCCTCAGCAGTGTGTGTGCATCAGTGATGGACAGGGGACTTCCCAATAGGTGTCCCAGCTGCCTGAGACTTCCCAGCCATCCTAAATTAGGGGATCATGAGCACTGTGCTCTTCCTCTCTACTCTAATGTCATTAATGACACAAAATTATGCGGTTTTTTATCTTACTTTCCCATTGTACGTACACCCTGCTCAGCCTCAGTGGAGGAAAGCCAGCAGAAGGAGCTGGACGTGGTGGAACCCCGTTACCATCTTTTGGCAAACGGAGAGGTTGCACAGTGGGATTTGTGAGGGGGGGTTGGAGAGACCACCCTGGCTGCTATCACTGTCCCCAAACAAGAGGTGCTTGGGATATATTAAAACAAAAACCCCAACCCAACAAACAGATCTAAAGTTAGAGATGGTTGCTCTTTGCCCCGTCAACACTTTCTCCCACCAGAAGACTCCTCCTTCGCTGTCACCACCCCAGTTAAGGCCCAGAGGGTCCGGTCAGGTCCCACCTTGGGAGCAAAAAGTCAAAGGTGAGACACAGCCAGGGGAGGGGCAAAATAGGCTGAAATTCAGAGCTTCTGCTTCATGGAGAGAATTCAACGTTTCATAGCGGGAGGACGTTCCAAACCCAAAGAAAGATGTTGAAAATGTCCAATTAAATACCTTTTTTTTTTTCCTTGCTTGAAAAGCCATGTTGTTTGTGCATTGCAGGACCACAGCATATTCTGCACTTACGTCAAATGTGTTATATTACAGGATAGCAAAATATTGTTAATTGTTATTGTTAATTTCTCAATGACTAAAGGTAGAGCTGCTTCTTAACAGTGAAACAGCAGAACCCCTCAGTGCCTCTCCGCTGTGCTGTAAGGAAAGTGTTAACATTGAAAAAAAACAACAAGACAAACGTTTTTAATTTCATCTCTCCTTCCAAATTTGCTGATCAAAGTAGTTTAGCTTCCGAAAATGTTGTCTTGATCAAAATTGCAGTTTGAATTACAAAGTCTTTTGATGAACGTTCTTATTAACAACCCTAAAAAAAGGCTTTTTTGCTGTCCTAACACCCCCTCTTTAAAATTGTCCTCTCTCTAGATTTTTCCGTCCGGTCTTAAATACCTAAATATAAACGTGTACATTTTAGGTATCATAAATACCAAATACCTAAACCCAAAAGTGAGCTGCAGAGAGCCCCACATTGAAGTTTCACCCGTGGAAGGTGTCGGTGGGGCAGCCAGGAGCTGCCGGGCTGCAGGAACTTCTGCCTGGAGCGCTCTGCAGGGAATAACGCACCCGGTTGGAGATAGATAACGGGCTCATAACGGCAGCGCAGGACACTGCAGAGCTTTATTTGCTGTTTTGTATTTTCTTATTCGGATGGGAGTTCTCTCACCAGCTTTAATAGAAGCAAGTGGCACCTCAAAGTTACAGTAACGCTCATTTACTACCTCCGTTTTGGAAACCTGTTCCTTTTCTAAGGAAGATCAAGGTCTTGTTGTTCAGGGACGGGGGAGGATGCGTGCAGGAGCTAAATTTATTTGAATTGTCTTTAGCAAAGAGCAATTAACTATAAACAATAACAAAACACACAAAACAGTGAATGCAAAAAGACAGATCCCAATTTCCTTACTCAGGAAGAATTCTTTTCTCCTCTTGGAGAGGGTCTCAAGCACCAGATGCTGAGCTGACGCTCATACAGAGAAATGTCATTGGGAAAGGCTTTATTCCAGGGGCAGTTTACAATCGGGGCTTTCCTTTCCTTTTCCCTTCCCTTCCCTTCCCTTCCCTTCCCTTCCCTTCCCTTCCCTTTCCCTTTCCCTTTCCCTTTCCCTTTCCCTTTCCCTTTCCCTTTCCCTTTCCCTTTGGAACTTCCCTATATCAGAAGCCTTGAGCGTTCATTTAATTACTCAAACCAGTACAAAGCAGCCAAACTCAAGTCCCAGTTACTTAAAGCAGAATTTGAAGTAAAATGAATGTGTGATACCCCCAATCCCAAAATTAATAACCCCACATATCATTATCTTCTTGTGCCTTCTTTCCCAACTATTCCACGTTCTTCACTGCAACTTGGAAAAAATCCAGATGATGGAAATTATTTTTTTTTAGGACTACAGACCTCAAACATCCTGTGCTAATAGCTCCTTTCTTCCTGAAGTGACTGTAAGCTTAATTGCTAAGAGCATCATATATAAAGAAGGAGCAGCTTGGGAAGTCAGGAATTCAGGTCACAAACTAGGGGAGAATCGGGTTAAAACCAGCTGATTCAGAAAGTTTAAGTGGGCAACCAGTTTGGCCTGCCACCTGCTGGTGTTTTTACATGCTTTGGTGAGACACTGGCAGAGGTTGCCCAGAGCAGCTGTGGCTGCCCCATCCCTGGAGGGGTTCAAGGCCAGGCTGGATGGGGCTTGGAGCAACCTGGTCTGGTGGGAGGTGTCCCTGCCCAGGGCAGGGGGTTGGAACTCTATGATCTTGAAGGTCCCTTCCAACCCAAACCCTTCTATGGTTCTATGAGTCTAAATAACCAGGCATCACCTTCTTTCTTCTGAACGCTCTAAAAAGGCAGGTGTGAAGTTCAACACACTTTGTTCTGTCTGGTTTTGAGATTACAAAGATGCAGACAACGTATCCCAAGAGACACCAGTATCTTTCTTTGTTAGATTTGTGAAAAAAAATAACCCAGTGATGGCCAAATCTTCATGTCCTTTAACTTCTGTCTTGTAAAATTCCCCTTACTTCTGCCGTTACTTCGGATTCCTCCTCAGCCTGCACCAGAGAGATCAGAGGAGACAGATGAGATCTTCATGTCAGAACCTCACTGAAGCCCCTGGTGCTTCTGTCATCATTAACGCTTCCCAACAAATTAATAACCCCTGCCACCAAAAGCTGCGGATGAGAAAAAACCCAAAGTCCGTATCTATTGTGAGGGTATCAACTGATGTGATTGAAATCCCCCTTTATTTCTTTTCCCAGTATAATCCCTGCCACCAAAAGCTGTGGATGAGAAAAACCCAAAGTCCCTATCTATTGTGAGGGTATCAACAGATGCGATTGAAATCCCCCTTTATTTCTTTTCCCAGCACCACAGCAAGGACAGACTAACCTGAAGTGACACCATCTGACACCCTGGGGTATGATACACACTCACACTATAAAACTGACCAGCTTTTTCCACACACTACAATTTTTGGCCACAGAAGTTTGTATCAAATACCGATAATTTTCAAGTTCCAAAGAAATGAACAGAGAAACAAGAAACAAAATCTTAGCAGCAATCAAAGCAATTCCTCATATAAATGAAATCAGATAAGACTCAGTCTTTTATTCCAAAACATTTTACTCCAAACTGTGTAACTGTTACACCCAACTTTGCTGGCCGTGTAGTGAGTGATTCCTGTGACAGTCTAAGGCATTAACTCTCCAAGAAAGGAAGATCTCACTGCTCCAAACCTCTTTTTGAATGAAAGTATTAGTCTATTACATGGATCATTTCACAGCTGGCTCTGATTTATCTTGGGTTTGATGCAGCAATTAATTCTGCTCAGAATTAAGAGAACAGAAGGATTCAGTCAGTCCTTTCTGCGGTCTCTGGTTACAGTGAGATTGAAGAGGTAAGATTCAAAAACATATTTGAATGACTTTAAAACCTCACTGTTGTTTTTTTTTTTTTTTCCCTAGCAAAGGAAAACATTTGAATGACTTTAAAACCTCACTGTTGGTTGTTTTTTTTTCCTAGCAAAGGAAAACGTATTGTTTACAGCCACAATATGTATCAATTATCATTTAGTGACTCTAAATAAGCAGGTCGACATATTAATTGGTTCCCCTCAGAGCTGTGTCAGTGGGGATAAGCTGCTTTGCACAGTACACTGAGGTAAAAAATCGTAAGAGAAACAAGAGCCCTTCAGATCCCTTATTTTTGGTCAGTTACCCTCTGAACGACAGCCACAAACTTTCCCATTTAACAGGTGACGTGGCTGAATCCTCCTCCTGACAAATCAATGGGCACAGCTGGAACGCTGACTCCATTCTTTGCCTAATTTTTTCTCTTTCTGCCCCAATCACAGAACCTGGGGATTGTGTTGCTTTTACAGCTGTAGCACGGGCAGTTCTGTGCACTGCTTTATACCTGCGTGTATAAGGAAGTGATATGGTATTAAATTAACTTACACCTTGCACTGGTTTTAACGTGACATTTAAAAAAAAACAGGAATTTTTCATCAGTTCCTGATCTCAAGTCGAAATGTGCGCAGGCAGTGGTTACAAAGCTGGTGTATCTATATGTATATCCTCATGATGGTCAGAGCAGTACCTGGGGCAGGGTTTCATGCACTCATCCCTTATTTTTTTTTCCTTTTGCTACTTCTAACACACCAGAAGCTCCAACAATACAACAGATTGCTCTGAAAATATCCAAAATATTAACCTCAAATGAGTTTTTCATTTCCCATGCAGGCACCTGTTTTAAAAAACCTGAAACCGCAGCGTTATTTCTTTACTTTGTTAATTGGCTTCGTACTTTGTGTGCATCAAAGGGATTTTTATCCCTTTTTGTCCCTGTTTTGTAAATTAGTTACACAATTAAAAACGCGCAGTGCTCATGCAGCAGCCTAAAAACGTTATGAAGTTTGGAGTTTTTATCTCAACAGTAGCCTGTGAAAGTACTGACAACAAAGATCTAAGGATAAAAAAATAAACACCGCACAACGCGCGTCTGGTTTATTTATCTGATAACTGCAACAGTGAAGACGGAACAGCTGAAAAATAGATATGCAAAGATTGGAGTTTGCTTTCTGTTTATTTTACCATTCTCAGGCAGAACTTCACTCCTGATACAGTCTTGATGCAGCCATTTAGAGGATGCAACTCACTCTGAAGGCACTGAAGAGCCCTCCATAGACATGCCTTCTGCTGAATATGTTACTGACCTACAGTTGGCCTTGATGATCTTAAGGGTCTTTGCCGACCTAAATGACTCTAAATATTCACGTATTTTATGCAGAAGGTTTCAAACAGTCTGGGCTTCAAAGTTCCTGCATTACACCCTGCAAGCCCAGATCTTCTATAGTGATCTTATAGTGATCTTCTCAGGGCATCTCATCAACACCTATAAATATTTAAAGGGTGGGTGTCAGGAGGATGGGGCCAGTCTCTTTTCAGTGGTGCCCAGTGACAGGACAAGGCAAGGACACAAGCTGGAACAAAGGAAGTTCCACCTAAACATGAGGAGGAACTTCTTTCCTGTGAGGGTGGCAGAGCCCTGGAAGAGGCTGCCCAGAGAGGTGGTGGAGTCTCCTTCTCTGGAGACATTCAAACCCACCTGGACCTGTTCCTGTTGGCTGAATGACCTGTTGCCAAATAGACATTACTCTGTATAGATTTCAGACCACACAAATCACCTCTACTAGGCTGAATGACCTGTTGTCAAATAGACATTACTCTGTGTAGATTTCAGACCACACAAATCACCTCTACTATGGAATTCCAGCGGTAACAAGATTAGAATAAGTCTCAAGATCAGTGATTACACACGAAATTGTAACGAACAGCAACCTTCATAAATGCCTGTCATCTGACTGTAGTTTATTCCAACCTTTATGTGAATCAGAGTAAAATCTTCTAGACTAACAGCAGAAAAAAACCATATCAAAATCCCTCAAATTGTTTAATTTGAGAATATAAATTAATGCAAATATAAATGAATACAAATATAAGAGAGAGAGATATCGAGGTGCTGGAGCGAGTGCAGAGGAGGGCAACGAAACTAGTGAGGGGCCTAGAAGACAAATCATATGAAGAGCGGCTGAAGGAGCTGGGGCTGTTTAGTATGAGGAAGAGGAGGCTGAGGGGAGACCTCATCACTCTCTACAACTACTTGAAAGGACACTGTAGAGAGGTTGGTGCTGGTCTCTTCTCACAGGTAATTAACAATAGAACGAGAGGGAACGGCTTCAAGCTCCAACAGGGTAGGTTTAGACTTCTCTGGAGACATTCCAACCCACCTGGACACGTTCCTGTAGGCTGAATGACCTGTTGTCAAATAGACATTACTCTGTGTAGATTTCAGACCACACAAATCACCTCTACTCAAGGCATTTATAAATATTTAATAAAATAAGTACAACGTTGATAAGAGCACCTGTGGAAGAGCTGAGAAGAGTGAGAACTACCATTGTTAGAATCATAGAATGGTTTGGGTTGGAAGGGACCTCAAAGATCATCCAGTTCCAACCCCCTGCCCTGGGCAGGGACACCTCCCACCAGACCAGGTTGCTCCAAGCCCCATCCAGCCTGGCCTTGAACCCCTCCAGGGATGGGGCAGCCACAGCTTCTCTGGGCAACCTCTTCCAGTGTCTCACCACCCTCATAGTAAAAAATTTAACAGCAAGTTCCTTCCATGTGAAGTAGAACTTGAGCTATACAAGATGTGTGTGATGGCAAAGAAAGTGGCTTATGACTCCTTGGCTCCTAATATAATAATAAGTGCTATAATAACTATAAATATACTATAACACTATATATATAGTAAAATAAAAATAAATAAATTGTAACATATAAAATATATATTGTAAAAATATAATATAATATAACATATAAATATACTATAACTGTAAATAACTCTAATAAGTGCACTTATTAAATGCTGACTATCTCATATAAAGTTAATACTACATTGCCAATTAAATAGCCCAAAAGGTGACTTTCCCACCAAATTCTGACTTGTGAACCTCCTCCAATATTTAATTCCACGACCGAGGGCCCGTGGGCAGAAAGTGCTGGTCGTCGTTGAAGTTTACAACATCAACATTTCAACAGCTTCTCTACCCAGGGAAAATTAATAATCGTGTATCCCACTGGAAGGTATTAGGTATCTTTAAAATAGTTAAGTGATTTGTTTTCTTTTAATTACTTCCTGTCAATATCCATAATTCTCTCTAAATATTCAAAACGAACTTAAAATCCAATATAAAATTGCTATTGTTTTCATATCATTAAAAAAAAAGAAAGATTAATGACATATTTCAGTAATCTAGCAATAACTGGCTTTTTTCATTGTTCAAGCTGTGTGTAATCCTCAGTGGATCTCAGATGTAGGTTAAAAAGGTATTTAATGCCTGTTTTTCAGTTGCCAAGGTCAAACATCACCTAGCATGTACAGGGAAAGAGGAAACATCTGTTGGAATAATTTATTTGACTAACACAGAGGGCAGGATTAAAATTCGCTGATTGCTTTGCTCCGATACTGAATTTCAATTAAACAATCCAGGTATTTGTTCAGGTTGATAAAATTTCCTCGCTTTCCACGTGGGCACGTTTATGCACATACCCAATTAGTGCGTCTGGCGAGGGAATACTGGGTTGGGTCGTTATTTCATACCTGAATATACTCTGAGAATGAATATTTCTGTATTTTGAGGTGGGTTCTTTTTCCAGAACAAACCCCCCAAACATTTTAAAGAATTCCCAAACCTCTAACTAATTCCCAAGACTCTTTGGTTTCCGTGGAATTCCACCGGTAATAAGATCAGAATAAGTCTCAAGATCAGTGATTACACACGAAATTGTAACAAACAGCAACTTTCATAAATGCCTGTCATCTGACTGTAGTTTATTCCAACCTTTGTGTGAATCAGAGTAAAATCTTCTAGACTAACAGCAGAAAAAAAACATATCAAAATCCCTCAAATTGTTTAATTTGAGAATATAAATTAATGCAAATTTAAATGAATACAAATATAGACATTTTATTCCAATCAAGTATGGAAAATGGAGTCTTTGCCTTTCTAGGGTCAAAGGGGATTTCATCAGGGAAAATTTTTGTCAAGCAAAGAAGCTCTACAAGGGGACAGCCTTTTACCATGGTGGTGTAGCACCTGAATGCTTGACTTCAAAGGAGACAGTGGAAGTTCTTACACCAAGGAAAATAAGGGGGGTGTAGCCACGGGGGGTCGGTCTCTTCTCCCAAGGAACAGGCCATGGGGCAAAAGGAAATGGCCTCAAGTTGCACCAGGGGAGGTTCAGATTGGAGATAAGGAACAATTTTTACACTGAAAGGGTTATTAAGCCTTGGAATGGGCTGCCCAGGGCAGTGGTGGAGGCACCATCCCTGGAGGGATTTGAAAGGCAGGCAGACATGGTGCTGAGGGACATGGGTTAGTGGTGGGTTTGTCAGTGTTGGGTTGATGGTTGGACCAGATGATCTTAAAGGTCCCTTCCAACCTGGGCAATTCTGTGATTTTACAACAGAATTGAAGGAAACAAATGCAAGTTTGTACGGCCTGAATATTGGGCTGTGCCCCTCTAAATTTCTCTGGCAAATAAACACACAGTAGTACAATTTTGTGACAACTTGTGCATTGCTCCCACAGTTCTTGTTTTTAAACTTCCCCACTTCTGCTGCAGGAAAAAAAAATCAAGAACGGGTACATATATGACAAGTTCAAAATACAGTGACTGTCATATGAAGAAAAAAAAAAGATACTTTGGAAGAGAGCAGCTCTGTGATTTGCAATTCTTCTTCCCTTCTCAAGGGAGAGGCAGCTATTTTTAATCAGAACAAATAATCAGGAGGAACAAAACTGATGGAACAGAAAGTGGTAAGTTGTCAAGAATAAAGATAGTATTAAATGTTGCTCAGTTAAATTTGCAAACATACTAATAAATTCTGATTTGAATGTAAAACAAAGCACCACATTTAGTAATTTTGTTACCAAAGAATACCTGTGTCAGTTGAATTTATTTATTCGTTTTATCTACAGCATTGCATCAATGATGCCTTTTTTGTTAGCCGGTACAGCTGCTAAATAACAAACCAGTCAGGTTAAAAGCAGATTTTGGTTTCCACAAACAGCTGCACTGGAGTTGACAAGGCTGCTTAGGTAAGGAATACATACACTGAACTCTGAAATGTTTAAATTCATTTAATATCTAAATGCCTGTGAGGCACACGTCACATTTTCTTGTGACTGTCTCAGTGGTCTTGAGCTGATGCTACAGGAAGATGCCAATCGAGTATATGACACACTGGAATGTATCTATTAGAAATAAGCTATAATGATGAAAAGTGATTGTTTCTCCAAGAAACAATTTCTTCCAAGAATTAACTTTGATGCTATTTTACCTTTGTGGAAGATTACAATCAAATGCATAAGCCAGCAATGCATAACACTGGAGTAAAATCATTACTATTAGCTTGTCTACTGATTTATAACCAGAAACCTGCCTTTCCTTATCCTTATCCTTATCCTGCCTTTCAAAGAAATAAAGACAACAAATATAACAGGGCTAAAAAAACCTGAAATGATTTCAGATTAAATTCTGCCTTCATGTACTCTTTTTCTGACTCATTCAGTAAGAGCTGTACAAGCAATAACCAAGAGAATTGAGAGCAGGATGGCTGAGGAACGTACCTGAGTTTTCACCCGACTTATTTTTTATCCAGGATTCTTGGCAGAGGTTTTCTTTTAAGTTTGTGCATCTCAGACAAAGCTACAAAATTGGGTTTTTCTTTCAGAGCTGGATTATAGTGAACGGGAGGCACAGGACAAGGTGTTTCAAAGTCAGCTACAGAAAACAAAGAAAAAAGGATTAATTCAATATCCCAAGTCAAACCAGATATTCAGTATGATATATATATATATGAGATATATATATATTTTAATATTCAGTATGATTGATCACAGGCTCCGATATATCTTGTTATAGTAAACAGTGGAATAAGTCTTAGGGTAAAATGCCTCTAATTTGACAACTGAGAATGGAAAAAGAAATTGTATGAAATTACGGAAAGTGCTGCAAACACTGATGAAGGTGAATATTAAAGCGTATTAATATAAATTCAGGTATTGTTATAAATTTAAATACATAGCACCTCCTTGTGTGGGGAGTTATTCAGAAGGGAGAGCATTGCTGCCATTCACAGGTGGCTGCCAAGCACTGGGCAGATGGCAGCGTCCTTTGGGCTGAGGGCTTCTCCCTTCACATCTTCAAAAATAACTGATTTCCACGAGATTTCATGAATCAATAATCTCTAAAGAACGTGCTCTCTCCCCTAAATTACACAGCGCAGTTTACCTTCTGAAAACAACCACATACCTGCCACCAATTTCATATTAGAAATGTGGCCATTCAATCCATTTTGAGTAATGTGAAGTCTCAGGTTTGTTTCCAAGCCCAGCAGGATGGCAGGACGTGCTGTTGGGTCATTTATGTTTTACTCCACAGCCAGTTCCATGGCAACAACAACCCCTGCCCCACCCTTCTTTAAAAATCTCAAAGCCTATTTCAGGTTTTGCTTGGGTTTCAAAACTCATTTGTTTCCCCTCTTCAAGAACGTGTTGCCTTTTCTTTTAGGTTTAAAGATTTTTTTCCCCTCCAAGAGTTTTTATTTATTTCCAAGTTGAGAACTTTTGCTTTTGTGAGACACACATTTTGGGAAGGCTTTTAAAAGGACTGGCATTTTACACAGATAGAATCTGTATAAATATATTTATATATGAATAAACCCTCAACAAATTATTGCTTGTTATTACTCATTATCAATAAGTAACAACAAATAGATTTTAAAAGTCTGATGTATTTATTAATATTTATTCTAGAATGCGCAACAGTTTTGGGGGTTTTACCATAATATTTGTAAAAAAAAGAATATTTACAGATATTCAAAATGTTACTACTTCCCATAATTCTGGGAGATTGGGATGGGAGGAAAAAAAACCACCACATGAACTAGTGCTAAAATTAAATTTTATATTGGAAAAGCCCAATTTCTGCTCTTGTGCTTCGGTCTTACCATGAGTAAAAATCTCATTCCTAGTGTATTTACTGTTAGCTGCTATTTTACTGTCTCTATAATATTTCAAATAATCATGAGGTAATTGATTAGCTTGCTTACATAATTGTAGATAGACTGTATGTTCATTTGTCATTCTTTCTTTGGTTTTTTTCCTGGCGGCTTTGGAGGCTTTCCAGCTCAATAGGAACCGTCTCTCCATTTCTTTAATCTCTTTCCCATCAAGGGATTCTGTCAAAGAGAAAAGAACAGTTTCTGTGATGCCCAAAGTTAAGGAAAGGGTGCAGAAAGCTGTATGTAGTGTATACTGGACTATATTTGCTCTCTTTGAATCTTTTCTTTTTTTCCTTTTAGTCTTTTGGCAAAAAAATACCAATACACCTTGATATTCATATTTTAATTAGCCACAAAAGTGAATTGACACGTCGTCATAGAATTATAGAATCACAGAATGGTTTATGTATACTGGACTATATCATAGAATTATAGAATCATAGAATGGTTTGTGTTGGAAGGGACCTTAAAGACCATCAGTTCCACCCTCCTGCCCTGGGCAGGGACACCTCCCACCAGACCAGGTTGCTCCAAGCCCCATCCAGCCTGGCCTTCAAGCCCTCCAGGGATGGTGCAGCCACAGCTTCTCTGGGCAACCTCTTCCAGTGTCTCACCACCCTCACAGCAAAGAATTTCTTCCTGAGATCTCATCTAAATCTCCCCTCTTCCAGTTTAGAAATTCAGGATAAGAGAGAACCTGCATGGCTTAGCAATCAAGGAATCCTACTGATCATGGAGACAGACAAACAGACAGACAGACCCTGTAAGATTAACTTTACTCTCTTTGATGCCATCAAATACTGACAATTGTCCTAAGACCCTGTTATTTTCATTGGGCAGGTAGGATTTTTCTTTCTTTTAATGGCCAAAAATTTTTACTCTCAGAAAAAAAGAAAAACAGATTTTGTAATACCTGCTTTTGAGATAATTGCCACCTTTATCCAAAAAAGTAAAAAATGAGCAGCTTTTTTTTTTTTTCACTTGTTTCTACAGTATGAATTTTTGCATACGGAAGACTAAGTTGCTTCCTGTTAATGGTAAAATTATCCCAAAATAAGAACGTAAACTGCATCACGGTACAGTTAAGATTTACAAATACATTCATAGTGTAAGTGCAAACTGCCTTCATCAGTTATGAAATCTAATGATTAATCCTACTAATAGCAAAAGCTGAGCAATAGAGTTTGTACACTTGATTACATAAACAGTTTTAGCTATGTTACCTGTAGATAGATTAAATATCCATAATTTGACATATGTGTTTACCTACATAGTGAAAGTCAAGAATGATTAACAGATCAGTTATTTTCTAAACCAGTGAGGGCTATGGGTGGGTTTGGGGGCTGTTTCTTACCCAGAGTCCATGACTGCACTACAATCCTGTCCCTGTACTTGGGTTTGTGGCACACGGGGTTTCCTGCAAGATCCAGTCTCCGAAGCTTTGTCCATTTGTTTAATGCAACCTCCAGGTCCTGCAGTTGATACAAGAAGAGAACATTGTGCTTATGGTTTGTTGGTTTTTTTCCCTGCAGAGTAAAATTCAATAGCAACCCGATTTGTTCAGCCAGGCCCAAATCCTGCACACAGAAATAGCTTCAGTGAGACTATTCATGGATTAATGTGTACGTTAAGAATGTGCATTTTCAAACAGAGCTTTGTGTGGCTTTCCCTGACTATATCATGATGGTGCAGAGGAAATGGTGATAGAGTTGGAAAACTCTGCATTTTTAAGAACACAGTTATGCCAGCTATGGAAAATTACCATTACAATCCAAATAACAAGAACTTAAAGCTGAGGAATTACCAGCCAAAATAATGTCCTTGATACATGACGTCTGTCCCCATGGTCTCACAGAGCCCTCAGAGTATCAGTGACTGATTTTGAAAAAATTGTGGAAGAATAAATACTTTACAGAGAAAGAACAGGCTTTAAAAAAAAAAAAAAAGTGTAAAATCATGCAAACCACAGTAGAACTGTCTTTCTTTTGATATATATGTAAAACTGTATTTTACTGGGAGAAATAGTAATCCCCCCCCTACATAGCTGTGGGTGGTCAGTTATAGTATTGGCCCAAATAGTGAAATTTTTGAAATATACCTTTCTCCATCTGTGTTTCTGTCTAACCAAGGGCAGTATGACCTGAATACAACTTCTTCTGTCTTTTAAATACAATAAATTCAAGTTAAAAGGCTGCAAAGCTTAACAGATTGGTCCTTTCTGCTCAGATGCCCTACTTTCCAAAACACTTTCCTTTGGAAATGTCACTTAACTGTCATTCTTGATAGGGCTGCCTTCTATGTGTGAAAAGCTTAAGCAGGGATTCAAAACAATCTATAGGAATATAAGAGGGGAGGGAATTTATGTTCTACATGTCTAGAATTTTGTAGCTTGATGCCAATAAAGAAGGATCTAACAACAGAGGTATCCCTCAGCTCCTTCCAATTTAGAAAATCACCTGGGCAACGCGAGCAAGGAGAATTCTGGTTTTGCAGACTCTACTCCCTTGGTAGAAAATCCTCCTGGGGATATTCTATGGGCTACAGAATGCATGTTTACAAAAATCACATGGAAGAGGAACTGGTAGCACAGCCTCACGCTTCCAAACAATATCATTTTTTGTCTATCGATGATGACGGTGATCTATTGTTATCCAGGGATGATAATGCCTCTTCAGAAAAACAGAGAGCAGAAGTCTGGTTCTGTGAGGAGCAAGACTGACAAAACAATGCAAGAAACTCTGGGGACCAGTCCAGGTGAAGAAATGTTGATAAATCTCGTAATGTTACACAGCAAAGCTTTATCAGCACGAATGAGAACAGCAATGTGATAACAACCCCCCGGTTTAGGTGCCAATACTTCATCACAGACCCAACAATTTAGGGGGAAATATATTTTAGGCTTGGCTTATTAAAAAAGAAATAGCATTTAGCCAGGGTATTTATTTATTCCTACCTGAGCATTCAGATACTGTCACTGAAATCTATAACGTGGTCTAGATTTCACTAGAAAGAATTTTTTTTCAAGCGATAGCTTTGCAACACAAAATTGTCTATTACTGAACTAAAATGTATACAGTTTAACTTTGATGGATGTATACAAAGAGTCCTGTAGGTTTTTGTTAGCTGTTCCTCACTTGATAAATGACCCAGAACATGCTTACTCCAGTGTATGTTTATCTAAGAGCACACTAATCCTGTGCTGAAATATGATTACCCTTTGGATACGCTCTACTTGTTCATTGCCTTCCTGTCTCTAATAAAGTGCTTTCACTTCCCAGCCTTTCAATAAGCTGGACTAGAGGGACCAGACACTCTTCTGGGCAGTCTCCGTTTGATAAATGATCATGTCATGCTATCACTTTGAGGTCTGCTCCAAAATACTGACGAGCAAATTATATTCCATGGGGTGGGGGGCAGAGGGGGAAGGGCAAGTGCCTTAGTAGGCAGCTGGAGGGCTGGCAATAATGTTCTTACCAATTAACGATGGCCATCTAAGAATTGGTATTTGACCAGTATGCTCCGGTTTTTATCGGAAACGTCTAGTCCCACTGCCCTAACTACCTCTACAGACAGCAATTTGTCACCATTTTGACTACCTGTCATAATCTATTTGAGAAAATCTATAATTTTTCTCTTGTTCCTGACTCGATTCTGAAACGAACGAATTCATCTTTTGTGATATCCTCTTGTCATAATCAATAGCGGGCAGAGGTTGAATAAATTAAAGACTTGGGAAATACAGATTTTTATGGGTGTTTCTAGCTGTCTTTTCTCTACCTATCCAAATACTCACACGAGTCAAAAACTTTCCCAAACTAATGTAATTAATAATGTAAAGAGAAATAGTTGTTTGCTTAAATTTTTTTTTTAAATAGGTATGGTGTTTTTAAAAAATTCTATTAATATTCCATCCCAAATCCACTGCAGCCTAGAAGACCTTGAGAACTTGACTAAAGTAAACCAGAAGCTCGGTAGGATAAATAAATGAAGCAGCAAAGAAAGAAAAGCCAATTCTACTGAAATCACTTCTGGTTTTGGTAAGTGACCTAAGACATACTTTTTACGCGTGGCAGCCAGTCATAGTAAGTTGTTTTGCATGAATTGAGAAAAATTAACTTAATTTTGTTCTGTCTACTGTTCAGACTGCATTATATAAACTTCAGCCATGTGAAACAAGGTCGCACGCCTTGACGTCCGTTAATTATGCTAACGATGGCCTGAATTAGCCAGAACCTTAAGTGTTTGAATTTACTAGCCCTAATTTTCAACTATGCAGTGCTGAAAAGCCAGGCGGTCTGGGTTTTCATAATAATGTGAAAAAACTGAGATAAATGTTTAGATATAAAATAATCATACTAATTATACACAAGTGAGAGAAGTCTACATGAGAAGATTGTATTTCATGCATTTCTTACGCCGTTCACATTTCCCTCTCTCGCAAAGATTATTTCATGCATTTCTTGTGCCGTTCACATTTCCCTCTCTCGCAAAGATTCCATATTATTCCTGAAGGAAGGGGAAATCAGGGGACACACAGCTTTTGGCATGAAGAAGAGGTAGATGTCAGAATTTTGAAAACAGAGGGGCAAGAGGCAGGAGAATGGAGGCAGCTTGTGTGGGAATGAAAGAGCCTTTGCTGGGTGTGACGAGTTCAGGCAGCAGAAGCAATTAAGTGTATATACTACAGTTATATATCCTCTGAAATCTTGTCAGCTGTTATGGTTGTAGAATAATGTAAGCTGTAGAATCATGAAATTTAGGGTTCCAAAAATCAAAACTTCCCTCAACTATTTTTTTTTTTAAACAGTTACTGGATGTAACTGTCCTCCTGCTAGGTGTTCACTGTAAGGTAAAGCCTCTTAAATAGTGTTAAAACTGACATTATAAATATACTTTGCATGGGCTACTGCTTTTTCAAAAGTTTGTTGTTGTTTTGGTTTTTTTTAAAATTTAAATAATAATTTGCATGTGTGACAAATAAAGCCAGCTACAATGTAATCCCTAAAACACAGTAACTGTAGGTGGGAAGCTGGACACCCAGCTGTATTACACTACACGTTACACACATTCAATGTGGTCATTAATTTTCCAGGTCTGCAAAGATATGAACAGAAGTAGCCTCTCTGCTCCCTATTTTCCAAACTTGGAGACTTCAGAAAACACACAGAACAGTCACTTTCAAAATTTACTGGGGCTTGATCCAAGTGTAACTGATACCAGCAGCAGCAGCAAACTCAGAATTCTGCTCACCGCAGAATTTTTCAAAAGCTGTGAGCATATAACATAAAAATCTGCATGGATATTTGATTTGGGTGAATATAAACTCTGGTGTATCTTTCTGACGATGAAATAATGCAATTTAATAATGATTCAATAATAGATACACTGTTACTGCATAATGCATTCTTTTTGTCCTCTCCTTATTCTGATTCAGAAGACACTGTTCTTTCCTCTGAGATGCTGAAAATGCTGTCTCTGAACTGGCATCTCATTCTTAAAAATAATTGGCTCTTTGGCTAAGACAATCTTCTTTTAAAAGATCATCACAACTGAAGTCAAAAAAAGACAATTAAAGAAATCACCGTAATATTTTTTATTTAGAAAAAAAAATCCTTTTCAAAAGGGAAACTTTGGAGAGACTACCTATTTAAAAAAGCTTACTGTTATTTTGATGTAACCAACACATTCAATATGGTTTTAATTACCCAGCAAAAGCTTACATGAATTCTATTTCAATATGAATTCAAGCACAACTGCCAGCCAGAAACACAGCTTGAAATACAATACATTAATAATCCTCTTGTAAAAAAGAAATGCATCATTCAACATTTCTTAATATTCAAATGTAAAAAAGAGTCCAAATAAAGTATATTGACCTAGATCAGTGATAGGGTATGCACACAAAATACTGAAATCTCCTTATTAGTAAACAGAACTGCCAAATTTAGTGTAAAAGACACTAAATGTTCTAATAAATAATAAGAATAGTTATTTTAATAATTGTAAACCAATGAAAGTTAACTTTTCTAAGGAAATAGAATGTATATGAAAACCAGTAATGACTTTATTTTAATCAAGGCATTTTCTTGGTGATTTGGGTCACAATTTAAGACAATTCATTTTAGTATTCATTAATAAAAATGTAAATTTCCAAAAAAGCAGAACACAAATGCCTATGGTTAATATTAAATGAAAACAGCATTTATTATGTCATTTATAAAGTTTGTTTCATGCCTCCGCTGTGCAATGAGTCAGCACAGTTCAACATAAATTTAATATTCGGTTACTAACATGACAATAAAATTAGTTTTTTAACTGCTCTCTATGTCAAGAAGTAGAAGACACTATTAACTTATAAAAATAATGAGAAGTGACAAGGCCAATACTCCTGCTCCTTTTTGAGAAGATAAGCTAGAAATTGTAAGTCTAGAACATTCTGTTTGAACCACATTCACTGCTGCAAAAGGAAGAGCAAAAACACTTTCATTTAATTTGTTTTAGCTGCTACTGTGGAAGTTTATGAAGACATGTCTTTCCTTAGCAGAAATTTATGGAAGAAATTCAATGTATAGTTTCATGACAAATACTTTTTACGTTACTCCAGCAACAATAGTCCAAAAGTAATTTTGATATTGGAACGGCTGCAAAATCAGCTAAGTGATCTGATATCCAAGAAGTGGCTTTTATTTACATTAAAATAGAGAACTAAAACTTGTGACACGGCAAAATATTACAAATTAATTAACAAACAATGGCCATGTCACCTTTGCAGATTAAGCCACTGACAGTCGCTCTGATGGCCAAAACATACAAACTACCTCCACATTTTGGATTCTTTATATTATAGCTATAAGTTCCATGCATTTACTGCTCAGTTGACAGCTACAGGCACAATTGCCACTGCACGATGGATTAATGGACATTTGGACATCCTAGAGAAATGGTTCTCCATTTTCAATCTCAACAAGATATTTGGATGAGAGAAGACAGCACGTTTGGAAAGTCAGAGGTTCAGTAACTGCAGGACTAGAATTTATTTTTACTCATTTAATTAGAGATAAAGATGAACTCGACTAATTTCTTAGCACTCAAACTAAATAGAGCAAATATTTATTTTAATACCTTCATGTGTTGAAGTTGATTGTCAACTGCTCTAAGATAAGAAAGATTTTCCAAAACTTCCAGTCCTTCTAATTCATCGATGTTGTTATTGCTGATATTCAACACAGACAAAGATTTCTGGAGGAAGAAAAGCAGAAAAAGAAAATTATTTTTTTCATGCCATGCATGAGTCAAGTTGTAAATTCTTGCAGAAAATTCTCTTGAAAAAAGAAAAAGCATATGAAGCAGAAACATGCAAATACAGCTACCACATACCTCAGGCGCTGTTTTATGTTGGCTTTCCCTCTTGTCCTAAAATACTGTTTCTTTTGGTTTTGAAGTCAAACAAAAGTTAGGTTATTTCTCAATTATTTCAGGAGTTCTTAGCAAATACAGAATTTTTGTTTTTCTCTAAAAACATTTAAATTCTTTAGAGTTCTGCTCTAAAGTGCTACTAACTCTACATTTGAAGTACAAAACAGAGACAGAAAGTGGCTGCCTTTTCCAAGGTTACATCTGAACTGCACAGAGGTGAGATCCCTATCTGATGCCCACGTAGTCTTGTTTAACAGCTCAACTGTGCTGGTTTTCTTTCAGGCTTGATCCTACAAAGCTCTCGGTACCCATATCGAGAGATACACACATATTCCTTGTCCCTTCTTTGGAACACTGGTGGGTCCCATAGTGCACTTTGCCTTTTGTAACAGACAATTATTGAAGAGATTTTTGCATCCCAGTTAAAAAGTAAATGTGTTTCAGGTGTTTATCTCAGGAAATAATGATGTTTCATGTAAAAGGAACAAGAAGTCTATACTCTAGAAGGTGAAAAAAAGGCACCTAATCCAGTAAATTTAGATTTCTACCAGATATGGAATTTACCATTAGTTAGAAAATGTCTATTTCAGCAGCGTACAAGAGAAATGTGGCCCCCTTCTAAAATCTGAGCAAGAGCTCCATTGCAGGCAGAAATTACCAGTATCATCCTCTTTTATCTCTGACATCATTAAGAGCCAGAAACAGATGAAATCAGAACTGATGTCTTAAGCAGGGACAATAGAAAGTTTCTACGTGTAGCTTCCACTAAGATGCTACATGGTCAAGAATGCAAAGTGTTTCTTAAAAAACAAAACAAAACAAAACCCCACAACAACAAAAGACTTATTAGTAAATAAAGTATTTTTTAACCACTTCAACACTACATTTGGTGTTTACTGAGAGATTAACCTGCTGAAAGAAAACTTCAAAAGCTGACTTTCCTGAAATCTTGACATACCCCAACATAGAAAAATTGCAGAACTAAAACTGAATGCTTTTGATTGTTTCACTCTTAATGCCCAGAAAAAAAAGTTATTTGCACCTTTTGCCATTGCATTTTCTAGAGAAATAAAGGAGGCAGTAAATAAACTAATGTAACAATCAAATTAGAGAAGTATCAACAAACTAGTTCACTGCAAACTAAGTAGGCTATGATGACTGTGATAAATTCCTACCCTTTTTTTGGTTTATTCACATTTTATCTATATGAGGCTTCCACACATTTCTTTACTTCCTCTCTCCCTTTATTCTCATTTCCATTGCCATCCTTTGCAAAAAAAAACCAAAATAAAAGAACTAGTCTGCTGGGCTCCTTGTTTATTGGAGAATTGGGTTGGGAGTCCCTTGGTAGAATTTGAAAGAAAGATACAAAAAGGAAAACACAAGTGCTAATAACTTCTCTGATCTACTCATTGATGGCTCACTGAAGTTCTCAGCATGTACTTACTGCCAGGGACCGAAGAGATCTTGGGTCAAAGAGAAGCTTTTCGCCCAGAGGGAGGTGCTGACTTTCAATATGTAGCTCCCTTATTCCTTCTAATTTATCCAAACCCTCTACTACAGCGATGCAGTTGCCCCCCAGATACCTGCAGAACAGAACACAAAATAGATTTAAGATCCTTTGAAAGCAAAAGCTACCACAAGGCCTCAATATATTTAAAATTTAAGTATTTTAAGTATTATTGAGCAATACTTGGAAATTATAACAGAAAAAGTCCATAACCTAGCATGCAAGTAGGACATAGAGCTAACAGATCCAAGGGTTTTTTAGGGGTTTTTATATATTGCTACTATTATTATTAAATGGCTGAAAAAGGAAAATAATTCAAATGAAAACAAATATGTTAAGATGATATGCCATCATTTTACATTATAACGCTGTTAAAAAACCATAAGCAATTACTTTTATTTGAAAAGCAACATTTAAGAGCTGAAAAGCCATTTCTGGCTACATAATTTTAAAAATTTTTAGTCTAATAATCATTCTTTTACTATTGAAATAAATATATGACTTTCAACTTACAGTTTTTCAAGGTTTTTCAGCGATGAGAGATTTTCTATACATGTAATACAGTTGTTCTGAAGGTAAAGGTGTGTTATATTCAAAGCAAAGTCCAAGTTCTGGATTTGACTGATTTGGTTATCATATAAATACAGAACTCTAAGATTTTTACACAAAGAGAGGTCACCCTGAAATAAAAAATAACAAATTAATGCTACCCAGAGTTCACTCACTGCTTGCTGCTGGAGGCTGTCTGGCTGTTGGTTTTACATTTAAGTTCTGCTCCATGCTTTATTCATTTTCATCTTTAACAAACACTTTTAACAATTATTTTTCCTAGAAAAACTGATTGTCAGTAATCACCTCCTGTAATCATGTCCTGTAATCATCATTACTGCTCTGCCATACAGAAGCTGAGGACTACGGTCATTATCAGCAGATACATCACATCCTGTGTGACTTAGAATCATAGAATTGTTTTGGTTGGAGAAGACCATTAAGACCATCATGTCCAATTTTTGACGTAGCACTGCCAAGTTACCAGTAAACCATGTCCCTCAGCACCACATCTACATGGCTTTTAGACAACTCCAGGGATGGTGATTCAACCACTTCCCTGGGCAGCCTGTTCCAAGGCTTGACAACCCTTTCCGTGAAGAAATTTTTCCTGATATCCAACCTAAACCTCCTTTTGAGGTTGAACTTGAGGCTCTTTCCTCTTGTCCCATCTCCCGTTCCTTGGGAGAGGAGACCGACCCCCCCTGGCTACACCCTCCTTTCAGGGAGTTGGAGAGAGCGAGAAGGTCTCCCCTCAGCCTCCTTTTCTCCAGGCTGAACACCCCCAGCTCCCTCAGCCTCTCCTCACGAGACTTGTGCTCCAGACCCCTCAACAGCTCCGTTGCCCTTCTCTGGACCTGCTCCAGCACCTCAATGTCCTTCTTGTTGTGAGGGGCCCAAAACTGGACACAGTATTTGAGGTGGGGCCTCACCAGTGCCAAGTATAAAGGGACAATCACTGCCCTAGTCCTGCTGGCCACACTGTTCCTGATACAGGCCAGGATGCTCTTGGCCACCTGGGCACACTGCTGGCTCATGTTCAGCCGACAGTCGACCAACACCACCAGGTCCTTTTCCATGGGGCAGCTCCAGCCACTCTGCCCCCAGCCTGTAGCGCTGCAAGGGGTTGGTGTGACCCAAGTGCAGGATCCAGCACTTGGCCTTGTTGAACCTCATCCCATTGGCCTTGGCCATCGATCCAGCCTGTCCAGATCCCTCTGCAAAGCCTTCCTGCCCTCCAGCAGATCAACACTCCCACCCAACTCGGTGCTGTCTGTGATCTTACTGAGGGTGCACTCGATCCCCTTGTCCAGATCATTGATAAAGATGTTAAAGAGAAACAGCCCCAAGCCTGAGCCCTGGGGGACACCAGTAGTGACCAGCCACCAACTGGATTTAACTCCATTCACCACAACTCTTAATTCCCTTCCCTGCCTTCATGAGGTGGATTTCTGAAAAGCTCAATTGTTAGCATCATTGTCTCCATCAAACTTCAGTGATGTAACGGAAACCAGTTCTTGCCAAAGGAATACTGATTTATAAAAAAACTTGCACTTCAATGTATTTTAATACACTTCCAAGTCTCAGTTCTGCTCAAATGTCAAGTTTCTTTGAAGATATTCCTCTTAAACAACTCAAAGATCACATGTTCTTCTAAGAGTTTCTGTAAAACTTCCCTGTGGCACCCTGAAGAACTGGTCCTCGTCAAATGGACTGATCAAATTAGTAACTTGCTGTGCACATTCCTAGGAGTGGGCTGAATAAACCCATTTGCCTGCTTGGATCCCTTCATATAAAACAAGCTATTTCATATTCTTGACTGAAATCACACTTTTAAAGCAGAAATCCACCACCACACACAACAATTCAATTGTTTAGGGTTCAGCAATTTCAAAACGTGCTCAGTATCTTGAGGGGATTTGAATTAACTCAGGACTTACTGAAACCTGTATAAATTTCCTATTATTAAACTCAAAGGAAGGGGGACAGGGTTAAGTTTGCAGGTTTAGTCTTTGAAAAGGAAAAGGTCATGGATTATTTTTTAAATTAATAAGCCCCAGGGAGCAATTTGAAAAAAATATATGTAGATTTTAACCTGACTAATTTGAAAAAGCCACTACACCAGTCCAAATTTGTTAACCTCACTTGGCTTGTATCCTGTTCCTGAACTCCCCTTTCCTTTCTCAGACTTCCTCCAAAATCTAAGGAATAAATCACAGCTAGATTGAAAAGATTGTGCTGCGAGTTAACAACTCTTTGTAAGATTCCCAAGACTAGAAAACATGGCATTAACGAGATTAAAGTAAGTGTTGCATTTAATAGCATGTAATATCATTACTATTTCCTTTAAAAAAATATTTTGATCTGCAAAATTACTCATTCCTTGCATTTTCTTCTGTTCCACAGTTTACATTTTTATGAAGGTAACCATCAATAAATACAAGAATTTAAATAAAAATACCCCAAACTGTTGCTGAAAATATGAACTTTGTTTGTTAACCTCAGACCTAAAGTCTCCAAGAATATTATAGCTAAATTTCAACAGGGCTAGAACACGCCTGTCAAAGCCCAACATCTGATTCAGTGGCAACAGACTGATTATATTCTATAGGAAAAGTGTCAGGTCTAAATGATTAATTTGAAATATCCTCTTTCTTAAATGTTTAAAGAGGTAAGCAAGTGGAGTTACCATTTCCATTCTGGGGACTTCCCAAAAGCTCCTTTACAATGTAGCAACTTTATGAAAGAATCAAAATAGCAAATTGTTTTGATTTTTTTTTTTTTTAGAGCTGCAGATTTCTGCGATTTCTATAGTTCTGTGAAATAGTGCAAAAAATACTTCAATTTAACACTTAGCTCATCTCTTTTGTGTAATTGCTTACAGGGATTTCCTATTTTAATTAATTAATGGAAAAAATAGTTAGTGTCCTGATAATATCCTCTTTGTCTGCTTTGTAAGATTCCCAAGACTAGAAAACATGGCATTAACGAGATTAAAGTAAGTGTTGCATTTAATAGCATGTAATATCATTACTATTTCCTTTAAAAAAATATTTTGATCTGCAAAATTACTCATTCCTTGCATTTTCTTCTGTTCCACAGTTTACATTTTTATGAAGGTAACCATCAATAAATACAAGTATTTAAATAAAAATACCCCAAACTGTTGCTGAAAATATGAACTTTCTTTGTTAACCTCAGACCTAAAGTCTCCAAGAATATTATAGCTAAATTTCAACAGGGCTAGAACACGCCTGTCAAAGCCCAACATCTGATTCAGTGGCAACAGACTGATTATATTCTATAGGAAAAGTGTCAGGTCTAAATGATTAATTTGAAATAGCCTCTTTCTTAAATGCCTAAAGATGTAAGCAAGTGGAGTTACCATTTCCATTCTGGGGACTTCCCAAAAGCTCCTTTACAATGTAGCAACTGTATGAAAGAATCAAAATAGCAAATTGTTTCTTTTTTTTCTTTTTTTTTTTTTTTTAGAGCTGCAGATTTCTGTGATTTCTATAGTTCTGTGAAATAGTGCAAAAAATACTTCAATTTAACACTTAGCTCATCTCTTTTGTGTAATTGCTTACAGGGATTTCCTATTTTAATTAATTAATGGAAAAAATAGTTAGTGTCCTGATAATATCCTCTTTGTCTGCTACAGATGATATATATATTTTTACAGTTTCAGGTAAGTAAAATACTTCAACCAGATTTTTGCCACATAAAGAAAAAATCCTCAGGTTGATAATAAGAAATGCTGCAGACTGTTGGAGTTACAGTCACCTGCTTTGATGTTTCATATGAAAAGTTACAGCTGAAGGATTATTTTCACATTTCAAATGCACAACGTGTTCAAAATCCATTTGAACACTTTTACACACAAGCAGCGTTCCACACAATAACAGCAGTGGATGCTGACATGTCTTTCTAAACAGACGTACTATTAAGGCTTAATTGCACCTCAATAAAAATGTTAAAACAGAATATAGCTCTTATAAAATAGAAACCTGGCTTTGCTTGTCTCCCCAATGATAAGCAGCTCTTCATTAACAGCAACTACAAAACACTTGAGTAGCCAGGTTAAAAGGAATAAAGAAAAATAAATCTTACAATTGCATCTATATTTTTGTCTGATAAATTGAGATGAGTTATTTTTCGCAGGTACTGTCCAGAGTCCTCTTCATTGCGATTCTTGTGACCGACGCTTTTAGCAACTAGTTCCAGTGTTAGTCGAACCATAATTCTGTAATGGGCCAAACTGCTTCACTGCTTCTTTTAATAAGGTATTCTGCATGCTCTTGTAAGCAGTTTTATAAAATGCCTTAAAGACAAAAAGGAAAATGTTATACTACTCATACCCAAGATCTTCAACAAAGCTTACGTGTACACTTCAAATTTGTTATTTCCCCACAAATTCCCTCTTTGCCCACAGTGACACATTTCTGTATAGCCTTTGCTGCTTATACAAGCCTACTCCTTTCTTACTGTCATTTTTTCAAACTTTTAAGGTGTTAAATAACATCTAAAATACATTATTACCTTTGATTTGTTGTTTCAGCATGCTTAACAAAACCGTATCCCAGTCTTCATCTTTTTCCATCTAGAAATATAAGCACAACTGTCCACAGCAGAAGCAATTCTCACACATAACTAACTAATTAACGGCAGCTCATAACCTAATTAATAGTTAGAAAATACATCCCTCCCTACAGCGGGTCTGACAGGCTGTGAGGAGTGGTATAAAGCATCAGTACCCTTTTGTCATGCACACACCTGCATGTGCATTTGTTATGGGCAGTAAAAAAGTGAGGATTTTTTCACACTGAGGCACACTCCAGAGGCTTTCACAACAACACCAACCTTCTCCAAAAAATAACTCTGGCCGTTGTTCCAAGTGAGCTTATAAATGGGGGGATGGAGGGGAGGGAAGAAGGCAAGATGCGTATTTTGCATTGGGTGCGTAAATGGTCTGGGGATAAAAATACCCTAACAACTCAGAATAAAAAGGTTGCTTTTTAGTCAGTACATAACACAATGTAAAATACGTATTCTAGAATCATAAAATTGTTTAGGTTGGAAGGGACCTTTAAGATCGTCTAGTCCAGCCATCAACCTAACTGATAAAAAACCGTCACTAATCATGTCTCTAAGCTCTATGTCAACCCGTCTTTTGAACACCTCCAGGGATGGTGACTCCACCACTGCCCTGGGCAGCCCATTCCAAAGCTTAATAACCCTTTCTGTGTAAAAATTGTTCCTAATCTCCAGCCTGAACCTCCCCTGGTGCAACTTGAGGCCGTTTCCTCCTGTCCCATGGCAATACCCCCCCAGCAGTGTATCGTAACAACTGAGAAGGCAAAAAGCCTCCCAGTACTAAAGGTCATGCAGGCACATAAACCACGGTATGGCGAATCCTCCTCACAGTGTTACATTTGTCAGAAACTGAGGGAAAACAAAGATTGAAACCATGAGGGCAGCAGAAACACCCTCACTCACTGAGCAAGGCTGGAGCTCGGGAGCTGTCCCTCAGGTGGGGTCTGAAGAAGGAGAAAGAAGGAAAAGCTGAGAGGGGGGTGAAGGAAAGCTGAAAGGACATCGGTTTGGTTTTCTTTTTACTGAGAATCATAAAATGGTTTGTGTTGGTCCTTTCTTACTGTCATTTTTTCAAACTTTTAAGGTGTTAAATAACATCTAAAATACATTATTACCTTTGATTTGTTGTTTCAGCATGCTTAACAAAACCGTATCCCAGTCTTCATCTTTTTCCATCTAGAAATATAAGCACAACTGTCCACAGCAGAAGCAATTCTCACACATAACTAACTAATTAACGGCAGCTCATAACCTAATTAATAGTTAGAAAATACATCCCTCCCTACAGCGGGTCTGACAGGCTGTGAGAAGTGGTATAAAGCATCAGTACCCTTTTGTCATGCACACACCTGCATGTGCATTTGTTATGGGCAGTAAAAAAGTGAGGATTTTTTCACACTGAGGCACACTCCAGAGGCTTTCACAACAACACCAACCTTCTCCAAAAAATAACTCTGGCCGTTGTTCCAAGTGAGCTTATAAATGGGGGAATGGAGGGGAGGGAAGAAGGCAAGATGCGTATTTTGCATTGGGTGCGTAAATGGTCTGGGGATAAAAATACCCTAACAACTCAGAATAAAAAGGTTGCTTTTTAGTCAGTACATAACACAATGTAAAATACGTATTCTAGAATCATAAAATTGTTTAGGTTGGAAGGGACCTTTAAGATTAGTCTGTACATAACACAATGTAAGTTATGTATTCTAGAATCATAGAATTGTTTAGGTTGGAAGGAACCTTTAAGATAGTCTAGTCCAGCCATCAACCTAACTCTGATAAAAAACCATCACTAATCATGTCTCTAAGCTCTACGTCAACCCGTCTTTTGAACACCTCCAGGGATGGTGCCTCAGCCACTTCCCTGGGCAGCCCATTCCAAGGCTTAATAACCCTTTCTGTGTAAAAATTGTTCCTAATCTCCAACCTGAACCTCCCCTGGTGCAACTTGAGGCTGCGTGGCAATACCCCCCCATTAGTGTATCGTAACAACTGAGGAGAAGGCAAAAAGCCTCCCAGTACTAAAGGTCGTGCAGGCACATAAACCACGGTACAGCGAATCCTCCTCACAGTGCTACATTTGTCAGAAACTGAGGGAAAGCAAAGCTTGAAGCCACGAGGGCAGCAGAAACTCCCTCACTCACTGAGCAAGGCTGGAGCTCGGGAGCTGTCCCTCAGGTGGGGTTTGAAGAAGGAGAAAGAAGGAAAAGCTGAGAGGGGGATGAAGGAAAGCTGAAAGGACATTGTTTTGGGTTTCTTTTTACTGAGAATCACAGAATGGTTTGGGTTGGAAGGGACCTTCAAGATCATTGAGTTCCAACCCCCTGCTCTGGGCAGGGACACCTCCCACCAGACCAGGTTGCTCCAAGCCCCATCCAGCCTGGCCTTGAACCCCTCCAGGGATGGGGCAGCCACAGCTTCTCTGGGCAGCGTGTTCCTTTCTTGGTTTGGTTTTTTTTTGGGTTTTTTTTGTTTTTTTTTTTTTTGTTGTTTTGTTTTTGTTTTTGTTTTTGTTTTTTTTTGTGGTTGGACTCGGTGATCTCAACCCCCTGCTCTGGGCAGGGACACCTCCCACCAGACCAGGTTGCTCCAAGCCCCATCCAGCCTGGCCTTGAACCCCTCCAGGGATGGGGCAGCCACAGCTTCTCTGGGCAGTGTGTTTCTTTCTTCCTTTTTTATTTTTTTTTTTTAAAAAGCACTTTTCCGACCCCTTTCTTAGACCTTCTGCCAAATCAAGCAGTGACAGCAGAGGAAGACCCGGGCCGGCACCGCGGGGGCTCTGTGGGACCTCTCCCGACCCCCCAGCTCCTACAGCCATCCCACCCCACCCTGTCGCCACAGTCCCCTGTCGTCGCCCATCGTCCCCCCCCCTCCCCGTACAGCAGAAGGCCTGACACCGACAGAGCCCAACCCTCACCCAGCACAACGGCTGGGAAGGCTGCTCCGGTAGCGGGCCAGGCGGGGAGGGGGTGCAGGACCCGTCCCCAAGGTCTGTCCTAGAAGGAATGTGTCCCCCCCGGCCCGCCCCGGCCCCGCTCTCCCCTCACCTCCCGGCTCAGCGCGCGCCTGAGGCACGGCGGGCACAGGGCAGGCGCGAGCGCCGCCGCCCCTGGTTGCCACAGCAACCGCACGCCGAGGAGGCGGGAACCCCCCCCAGGCAACGCGTCCTTTCTACCCAATCAGCGTCGAGGAAAGAAGCGGGGGCGGGGCTGCGCCTGCGCAGTGACGGGTCCCTCAGGGCCTCGGCTGGAGCCCGCGGCGGTGGGGGCCTGTGGGGAGCGGGGCCCTCGGGCTCGGTAGTGGCCGTGCCTCCCCTGGACAGACCCCTCAGCTGCCCACAAGGGCGAGCTGTGGTGGGGGATTGGGTGTTGCCTGCAGTCATGGGCCTGGCAGCGCCTCTGAGGCAAAAGGACGTTACCGGTGCCACAGGTATGTCCTGCGGCCTGGGGGAGCTGGGGCCTGTCAGCCCACCTGGGGCCTGTCAGCCCCCCAACCACAGGAGGTTGCAACAGGGAATTTCCCGGATAAAAAACTTTGAAACTTGCTGTTGCCAATGGATTTGGAGCATTATCTCCCCTAGGAAGAGCTCGTTGCCTTATTAATCGTAGAATCATAGAATGGTTTGGGTTGGAAGGGACCTTAAAGATCATCCAGTTCCAACCCCCTGCCCTGGGCAGGGACACCTCCCACCAGACCAGGTTGCTCCAAGCCCCATCCAGCCTGGCCTTGAACCCCTCCAGGGATGGGGCAGCCACAGCTTCTCTGGGCAACCTCTTCCAGTGCCTCACCACCCTCACAGCAAAGAATTTCTTCCTAAGATCTCATCTCAGTCTCCCCTCTTTCAGTTTAAAACCCTTCCCCCTCATCCTATGGCTCCACTCCCTGATGAAGAGTCCCTCCCCATCTCTCCTGGAACCCTTTTAGCAACTGGAAGGGATTATAGGGTCTCCCCGGAGTCTTCTCCAGGCTGAACAACCCCAACTCTCTCAGCCTGTCCTCATAGGAGAGGTGCTCCAGCCCTCTGAGCATCAAATCATTAATACCTTAATAATGCTATGTGTTCTTAAATTTTGTTTACCTGCAGGTTTTCCATCTGGTGTTACTCCTTCCTGCACGCCAAGCATTTTTGTGAGCGTGAGTTGCTGGCGAAATCAAAAGTATGTGTTTCATTTTCCCTGTGCTTAAATTAGAAGGATTAATAGTTTAATAATTGAGTGGATACTCTATTTAACAGCAATGTTCTATAAAAACAAAAAGACTAGCAAATAATTTATATTTTTTTCCTATGATGAAACATTATTCCAATTTGGGGATGCTTGCTTCGTTTTTTAAAAATCAATATTGTCTCAACAGTTTTGGTGCCTTTTAAAATTAATTAATTAATTGCTGATGCCACAGAAGTGGGAGGAGTGGCTGATACACCAGAAAGTCTCCTTGGAGATAAGACCTGGCTGGATGGGGCTTTGAGCAACCTGATCTGGTGGGAGGTGTCCGTGCCCAGGGCAGGGGGGTTGGAACTTGATGTTCTTTAAGGTCTCCTTTCCAACCCGAACCCTTCTGTGATTCTAAGATATTAAAAAGCCTCCTGGTCACAGGTAGCCAGCTCTAGGTGGGCCTGTGTGAGTGGGTATGTTGGGCCAGATGACCTCCAGAGGTCCCTTCCCACCTTGACCATCCTGTGATTCTATCAGTTTAGCATATGAGTAACTCACTGAAGTCAGTAAAACTTTATACCTGTTGTGTGCTTGCTGTGTTGGAACGCACAAAGGGCAACAGCTGGTCAGTGACAAAATATATTGCTTCCGATGAAACCAAGATTAGGACTTTATGTCTCTTTTAGGAAAAATGACTGCTGTTACGAGCCTGTTCCACTCTGACCTTTGTTAGAAAAAAAACTGCTGTTATGAGCCTGTTCCACTCTGACCTTTGTTAGAAATGCAGAAAAGGTATAGAAAGTCCCATCCTTCCAACCTCAGATTTCCTATATCCTTCTCTCTGATGAGAGATAAAGGATAAAATATCTCAAGATGCCCTTATTTCTGTGGTGGAATCCAAACTGAGCATGCCCTGGAGCTGCTTGTTCTGGGAAATGTTCCTGTAAAAAAAAGTATGTTAATACTCTCAAAGTTAATTTTGGACTTGGTTTGTTCTCCCTCATGGCTGTAGATTTTGCAGGTGTTCTGGGGCTGTCTGTTAGTAATCTGATTTAAAGGCAGAAAAAGCTATGAGAAGTTTCAGGAGGAGTATTTATTCATTAAGGCTTGAATTAGGATTCTCATCTGGTGGCACAGAATATGAAACAATCGTCTGCGTACTCTCTGGGATGGCAGGAATTTGGCTGAGTACAAAAAGCCCTTGTCTTCAAAAAAAGCTTTTGGAAATACCTGTGTAAAATCATTGATGGGGATATTTCTTACAGTTCCAGAGTGGAACATGGAGCTGAAATTTACTTTTAAGGATGGAAAACACCTGAAGAGCCTCCCTCGGTGTAAGCGCTGCCGTGCCGTTTGCATAGAGCTCTTTCTGTGCATATGGATTCTATATGTGGGGTGTGTCACATAACGAGTGAGACAAGATACTCACACCTCTAATTGTAAAACGTTAAATTGCAGCCTAACAATTTCTGATAAACTTTTTCAGGGTCTGGTTTCAAACTTTTTTTTTATTCAGTCAGACTTTCTCCTGAGTATCTCTTGCCCTCCTCTTTTGTGGCTGGGCAGCTACACGAAATGGAATCAACACAGTTGCTTGAGTATAGTTATTTTCTTCTGTAAAATACATCTGAAAACTTTTCCCATTGAATTTAAATTTGTTTGGGTTTTTATGTTTTCACAGGTAGCAAATGGGAGGTTCTCAAAAACACGGGGCAGAGGAAATAGGGCTTTTATTTCAATAAACTTGCAGAGAGCTGTATTGAAATGGCTTCGAAAAATCAAGCTGTAATCCACTGAGTCTGATGCTGACAGCCAGGTTCCTTAAGGACGTGGTACTTACACGGTGGTGGGTGAGAAGCTCAACACGAGTCATCAACATGCCCTGGTGGCCCAGAAAGCCACCCCATCCTGGGCTGCATCCCCAGCAGCGTGGCCAGCAGGGCCAGGGGGGGATTCTGCCCCTCTGCTCCGCTCTGGGGAGACCCCACCTGGAGCTCTGTGTCCAGCTCTGGAGTCCTCAGCACAGGAAGGACATGGACCTGGTGGAACGGGGCCAGAGGAGGCCACGAGGATGCTCAGAGGGCTGGAGCCCCTCTGCTGTGAGGACAGGCTGAGAGAGTTGGGGGTGTTCAGCCTGGAGAAGAGAAGGCTCCAGGGAGACCTTAGAGCCCCTTCCAGTCCCTAAAGGGGCTCCAGGAGAGATGGAGAGGGACTCTGGATCAGGGAGGGGAGCCATAGGATGAGGGGGAA